AGAAAGAAAGAAAGAAAGAAAGAAAGAAAGAAAGAAAGAAAGAAAGAGGAAGGAAGGAAGGAAGGAAGGAAAGGCCTTGACTTCTGACTTCCTTTGGTGCAGTAGAATGAAAGACTAACATCAAAGCTCAATTTTTTTATTTTACATAATAATATAAACCTGGCTTGGCTTGTTTTTTATTTTTGTTTTAAGTGGGATCCATTTATGCTGGGATTCAAGTCTTCTGCCCTTTTCTTTTCCGCCTCACATTTTCAGACCTCCTGAAATTCAATCTGTAAATGTGTCTGTGGGGGGGGGGGGAACAAGAGGGGGGCGGTCATTTTGGAGATGAGGGAAGCCTGTGGCTACTCCACAGCCTTTGGAAGTGATGCACACAGTAAGGCAACAAAAGAGCAGGGTCTGCACATTTAACAAACCCTCCAAAGAAAAAATATCAGATGTGTACGTAGCAGTGATGGGATTCAATTTTTTTTACTACCGGTTCTATGGGCGTGGCTTGGTGGGTGTGGTGTGGCTTGGTAGGCGTGGCAGGGGAAGGATACTGCAAAATCCCATTTCCTCCCCACCCCACTAACCTGCTTTCCAGCTCTGTTCTCCTGTGCAGAGCAACAAAAGACCCAGCCGATCAGCTGGGACTTGGGAGGCAGAGAATAGATGGGGGTGGGGCCAGTCAGAGGTGGTACTACTCAAAAGATGGTACTTGCCTGGTTCTCTGAACTACTCAAAGTTTAAACTACTAGAACTCATCAGAACCTGCTGAATACCACCTCTGGTATGTAGATCAGACACTTATGGATACACACACACACACACACATTTCTTAAGTTTTTGCGGGTACTTACATGTATGACATTCAGCTTTGTTTGGGTATTTTCCCACGTCATTGTAGTTGTGGTTTTAAAGTTGTAGCAACGTTTTGACAGAATCTCATCTGCCATCATCAGGCTTCCCAGCCTGTTGATGGCAGATGAGATTCTGCTGAAACGTTGCTACAACTTTAAAAGCACAACTACAATGACGTGGGAAAATACCCGAACAAAGCTGAATACCATACATACATACATACATATATACATTATATATATACATTATAATTATAATTATATATATATATATATATATATATATATATATATACACACATACACACACATATATACATATATACATGCATACATGCATACATGCATACATGCATATATGGATACACCCTGTGTGAACCGGCAGAGCACTCCTTACCTGTCCAGGGATATATACTTATGACCACGACTGAGCCCAAAATTTATGAGGTTAAGCAAGACAACTGTTCAGTGAGTTTGGCCTCATTTTACAACTTGTCTTGCCACATTGGTTACGTGAATCCCTACAGCTGAGTTCGTAACATGATTACATTAGTGAATTTGGCTTTCCCGTTGGTTTTGCTTGTCAAAAGGTTGCAAAATGTTAACGCCACATATAGATTATAAGCCAGAAATATTTTTTGTTAGGGATAGCAGTACCAGAAAAATATAATAAAGGGAATTTGTATTTAATGTTGCATGTCATGACAGCAGCAAGAATTGTATTTGCACAGTATTGGAAAAATGAGGAAACGCCCAGAGAAGATGTAATTAAAAAAATAAAATTAGATTGCGCAGAAATCGATAGACTTGATATTAAAGGTTGCAACCATCCTAAATACATGCCAGTTGCCAAATTTTGGCAATGTGACCATGGGGATGCTGCAATCATGTGAAATGTGGCTATAAGTCACTTGTGGGTCAGTCTTTTATATCAGCTCAAAGTGACCTATGTAGGAGTCTTTCCTAATTTTGTCCACTCAACAAGGAGCTTGGATATGCTCCAGCCTTCAATAGGCACTGCAGAACTTTTATGCAGGCCCCACATGGGGAATGCTAGGATCTCAGAGTCAGGATTTGGGTTGGGCAGTTGTGGTGCTGAGGTCAGGGGTGGGATTCAAATTTTTTAACAACTGGTTCTGTGGGTGTGTCTTAGGTGGTGGGCATGGCTTGGTGGTCATGTTATTGGCTGGGCGTGGCCAACTCAATATCACTCACATCGAGGCACGCATCTCCTCTCCTGGTCTCTCATGACTGTGCGATGTTGCAATAGTCGTAAGCATGAAAAATGGTCATAAGTCACTTTTTTCAGTGCCATTGTAACTTTGAATGGTCACTCCACACAAGCAAAGTACCAGCAAAGGAGGGAGAAAAAACTCCAGAGAAGTTCCAGAGATAGGAATTCTAGTCCTGCCAAGTATGTAATAAGGGTTAACAGAGAGGCAGTTTCTATAAGCAATACCAGAATGTTTCCTTCCTGCCTTCCTTACAGGATTAGGCCAGCAATTTCTCTGAACTGCTTAGAATGTTAACAACCGGTTCTAGCGAATAGGTGCAAACTGGTAGAATCCCACCCCTGGGTGAGGTGTTTCTCCCGCTATTGTGCAGTGTTTTTCTTTTGAGATATCTCGTAGGAAGAGAAAAAAGGGCAGGAGAACCATATTGTTGTAATTTCACCGGCAGCCAGTGCAGACAGCAGCGGAGTTGATAATGGGGAAGAAAGGGAACCAGTCAGGGAGTCTGGAGAGGACTTGGATGAGGGCCCTGCGTCCGATGCAGGGATGGGGCCAGGACCATCTGGGAGTGGGGTGCTGCCTTTGGAGTCTGGCAGCAGCAAAGCAGAGCACCCAGGGGAGCCTGTTCCCAGTGCATGTGTGTGCAGAGCTGCTAGAAGGCAAGAGCAGCTGAAACAGAAGGGGTGACTCTGGAGTAAGGCTGGGAGGTGATTGCCCCTCCCCTAAGGGATAAAAGTCAGGCCCAGATGATGAACTCTTTGCAGGAAGCAAAGTAGTTCAATAGATTCCAAGTCTATTGGAAGATAGTCTATTGGAAGCTCTGGGTACTCTGGTTGGTTTTTTCTGGTACTTTGGTTGGTTTCTGTTATAATTAATTTGGATACTTCTGTTTTGGGCAGCATTCTATTTATTTTTATTTAATTTCATTTGTCAATCGCTTACAAGATAATAGGTATAAGTATATACATAGTTATGAATACATGAAATGGGTACATATAAGAAAAGTAAACAATAGGACAGGGACGGTAGGCACGTTGGTGCGCTTATGCACACCCCCTACAGACCTCTTAGGAAAGGGGTGAGGTCAATAGTAGACAGTCTACGGTTAAAGTTTTTGGGTTTGGGGGAAGAAACCACAGAGTCAGGTAGAGTGTTCCAGACATTGACCACTCTGTTGCTGAAGTTGTACTTCCTGCAATCAAGTATGGTGCGTTTCAATCAATCAATTTTTCAATCAATAAATTTTGCAATCAAGTTTGGTGCATTAATATGTTTCAGTTCTACAGTACTGAACGGCGTGGGCTTATCTTGGGGAACTGTTTAAGATTAGTTCTGGCTGAGAATGAAAATAATTCCCAGCATTGCATTAAAATAGGTTTTGCTTTTCAAACAAGATTGTGTTTCATTACATTTGACAAAGCCTAGGTCAGAACAAGTATCACCTGCTGGGTTTAATTTGGCTTCCCTTCCCTGGAAATTCCTGCTGTCTGTTGGTGCTTTGCTTTACCGTCACTTCTCACTCGAGGAGAAGCTTCGGCCATCTTGATTTCGGCATGAGGGGGATGATCCCCAACAGAACTGAAAACGCAGGAGAGGAGGTGAAGCCCCTACCTCCACTGCAACTCCCCTGACCCAAAATTTATTCTCTCTTTCTCTGCTTCTCCCCCTTCGCAGATACACTCCATGGATTTTGATGATACGTGGCATCCAACCACCCATCCTTCGGGGCCAGTGCTGTCAGCCCTCATGGCCGTTGCTGAAGGGGTGGCCAAAAACCAAAAGGTTTCTGGCTGTGACTTGCTTTTGGCTTTCAATGTTGGGATCGAGGTGCAAGGCAGGCTGATGACCTTCTCCAAGGAGGCCAGCAATCTTCCTAAAAGGTCCGTTTTCGTTTTCGTTTACTGGTTCTGAAATAGGCCCCAGAGGGACCCTCCTGGTGTGGCCTTAATGGTCAGCCATGACCCTACCTAGCATCATCTGAGCTTCACTTATTCCTCTCTAAGCCGAGTGGGCTTCTTTATTAGATGGTCATTACTTGAAGACCAAATCCTGAATGGACTTTCCTATGTGGCATATCGGATCATTTATTGGCACCCCTTGCAGGGACACAAAGTACTGTTTTCTTTGCACTTAGGTGATGTACAGTCTTTGACTTGCAACAGGTTGTTTAGTGGCCGTTCAAAGTTACAACTTTGTATTGTATACAAAGGTACACAAAATTTGTATTGTTTATATAAGGGACGCGGTGGCTCAGTGGCTAAGACGCTGAGCTTGTCGATCAGAGAGGTCGGCAGTTCAGCAGTTTGAATCCCTAGCGCTGCATAAAGGAGGGAGCTCCCGTTACCGGTCCCAGCTTCTGCCAATCTTAGCAGTTCGAAAGCACGTAAAAAATGCAAGTATAAAAATAGGGACCAGACCACTTGGTGGGAAGTTAATGTGCATTTAGGCGTTTAGTCATGCTGGCCACATGACCACGGAGACGTCTTTGGACAGCGCTGGCTCTTCAGCTTTGTAACGGAGATGAGCAGCGCCCCCTAGAGCTGGAAACGACTAGCACGGATGTGTGAGAGAAACCTTTACCTAAAGTTACAACAGCATTGGAAAAAGTCACTTAGGATTGAACAATCCAGACCAGAGTCCTGTAGGCCAGGAGTCTCCAAAGTCAGTAGATCGGCACTAGTCGGCATGCCACACACCAGGTTGCACAAACATGTGAAGCCCCATCTATGGGATGAAGGCAGCCCATGAAACCATGCATGTCCCCATGGGTCCAGGGAAAAACCTCTCTCCACGGAATCAATCCCCGGTGACCAAAAGGTTTGGGGCCGCTGCTCAGTGGTGGTATTCAGCCAATTTGCACCGGATCGGGCGAACCGGTGTGTTACCTGTGAAAAACATAAGTTCTCCTTTTCCAATTTCACAAAAGAAGAGATGAGCTTTTGTAGATTTTGCCAGGGATCTCTCTCCATCTGAGGGCACCAGAAATGGGTTGCTTGCCTTGCTCTGCCTTCCAAGCAAACAGCCAGTCAGGGCTCTGACAAATCCACCCCCATTCATATCATAAGTCTCTAGCTGCATCTCTCAGAGTAAAAATAAAATAAAAATGATTTATTAGGAGTGACCATGTTGCCGTTACCTGGGTGCAGCCGTCACTAAGATACATCATTCATTTTCCCCCTTGACCCTGGTCTTCCCCCCACCCCCTGGATGTGTTCTCCAATGAGACACATCCATAGCCAAGAGTCATCAATCAGGCTCTCTGGTAATAATCTTGCGCGCCAACAGCTTCGGCTGCCTAGCAATTATCTGAAGCATTTGAGGAATGCACTACTTTCCCCCACTCCCTTTATGCTGGCAACTAAAAAGACCAAAGAAGTATTTTTTTTTTAAAGTTGACACAGCCAACCTCATGGCCCTTCTTCTGCTCACGGGTGCCATTTTTGATTTTTCCAGGTTCCACCCACCCTCCATTCTGGGCACCATGGGAAGCGCTGCAGCCACTGCAAAGCTCCTGGGCCTCGACCAACTCAAGTGTAAGGAAGCCATGGCGGTAGCCGCCTCTTATGCCGGTGCTCCACTAGCCAATGCAGCCACACAGACCAAACCACTTCACATGGGCAACGCCAGCCGGCACGGCGTGGAAGCAGCTCTCCTGGCCTCTCTGGGCCTGCAAGCCAACAAGCTGATTCTGGACCTCGAGTCAGGCTTTGGGGCCTTTTACATGGACTACCTGCCCCAGATGCTGCCGAGCCTGCAATCCTACTCTTGGTTGTTGGACCAACAAGACGTGGCCTTCAAGAGCTTCCCAGCGCATCTGGGGACACACTGGATGGCCGAAGCTGCCCTGGCAGTAAGGAAGCATCTTGCCCGGAGTGGGGAGTCTCTGCTCACTAGCCGCATCAAGGCCATTGTGCTCGACGTCCCCAACATTAGATATGTTGATCGGCCGTTTCCGTCTTCCGAACACGAAGCCAGGCACTCCTTCCAGTTTGCCGCCTGCACAGCGTTGCTGGATGGCTTCGTCTCAGCCGAATCCTTCACGTCGCAGAGACTGTCCAGGCCGGAGTTGAATGACCTGTTCCGAAAGACCAGCCTGGAGCATTCTCCGGACAATCTCCCCAGCTTCAACAGCCTTTACTGTGGGGTCAAAGTTGTCCTCCAGGATGGAGACAGTCGGGAAGAGCGTTGTGAAACCTTCTACGGGCACTGGAGGAAGCCCTTGAGCCGCGGGGATTTGGTGAAGAAGTTCCACGCCAATGCCATCTCTGCTGTCTCCCCAGAAGTGGCTGAAAGCATCGTAGAAGCAGTTGATCGGCTGGAATCCCTGGAGGACTGCGGGGAGTTGTTCTCACTTCTTCGAGGAGCTGAGCTGACCAAAGATTTGAGGCAACGCAAGAGGGAGATTTTGTGAGATCTACGTGGCCCGAGAAGAACCTTCCTGGCCTGGCCTTCATGGTCAGCCACGGCCTATCATCATCTGAGCTTCATTGATTCCTGTCAACAGATTAGTCCTTGTCCTTACACTTCGTTTAGTGACCGTTCAAAGTTAACAATGGCACTAATGGATTGTGTGAGAAAACGAACCAAATTATTGGACAATATTTAAGATGCTATGTAAATTATCAACAAACCAACTGGGCCGATTTGCTGCCGTTTGCAGAGGTTGCTTATAATAATGCTGTACTGGGTTCACACCTTTCCAAATTAATACTGGGATGGAGTTTGTTCCCATGCCTGAATTGCCAAGGGACCTCCCCCCAGATCCATGTCAGTAACTGAGTGGATGGACACAATTAAGGAGTCTTGGGAAAACATAAAAAAGGCTTGGAATAAGGCAGCACAAATCCAAAAGATACAAGCTGACAAAAATCCTTCCCAGCAGCCACAATTAAAAGTGGGGGATAAAGTTTATTTGTCAACTAAATATTTGATGTTACACTTACCTTCTAGGAAATTAAGTCCAAAATGTATAGGGGCTTTTCAGATAATTAAAGTAATAAACCCAGTAACTGTGAAACTTATCTCCCTAGGCTATTGGGGAAGGTACATCCAGTGTTTCATAGTAGTTTATTAAAGCCATTTGTTGATTCTTCATTGAGGCCAGCAAAACGTGTAGCTCCGAAGCCTTTGTTCATTGCAGGGCATGAACATTATGAGGTTAAGAAAATTTTGGATTCTAGGATTTTCAGGGGGAAGTTACAATATTTAATTTATTGGAATTATTATTCACAAGGGACTTGGGTAAATAGCTGGAAAATACATGCTGATAAAAGCCTAAACCAATTCTGTCGGTGGCAGAGGTGGTTAAAATGTGCTTTGTGGGATTGTGTTTAACCTAATTTCAATCTTCGTGTATTTCATGTCGTTGCAGGGGTTTCTTTTCAAATGAGGGTGGGCCGCCTGTCAAGCCAGAAATTGACATATGTGTAGCTATTTGAGTTAGGCTTAATATATATTCTTTTTCTTACTTTCTCTGTGGCAGTCATGGGGGGGGGAAAGGGTTTCGGGTTTGCCACATTCCTAAGTGGGGAGGAGTGGAGATAGAGTTGTGTAGGCTAGGTGATTCTTCTTCCCATGGGAAAACGAGCTGACCGTGCTCAGGCCCCTGGAGATTTATGACATCAAGCGGTCGTAAGTCAAGGACTACCTGTCTGCTTCTTTGTTAAGATGGCCATTGCTTTGTGGACCGGTTGCTTTCGTGGTGTGGAGGCAATAACTTGGTCCTCAACACCAATAAGACCAAGTAGCTTTATAGTGGATTATAGAAGGAACAGATCAGACATCCAGAGACCGAGTGGAGCAAGTGGCCAGTTTTAAGTTTCTGGGTGTTACCCTAAAAGAGGACCTGACCTGGGGGTGCCCACATTGCAGCCCTGGTCAAAAGCGCCCAGCAGAGATTATACTACCTGAGACTTCTCAGAAAACAACTGAATGAAAAACTGCTGGTGACCTTCTACCGCTGCACCATACAGAGCATTTTAACTTACTGCACCTCTGCGTGGTTTGCCAATTGCACAGGGGTAGATAGGACAGCACTCCAGAGGGTTAATGTCATTGCCCAGAAGATTATTGGTTGCCCTCTCCCCTCTTTAGAAGAACTTTATAGCTCCTACTGCCTTAGTTCAAAACGTTCTCAAAGATCCATCTCATCCTGGGCACCCTTTTTTGTTTTTTGAACTATTACCATCTGGCAGACGGTACAGGATAGTAAAAAGAAGGACAAATAGGCTGAAAAACAGCTTCTATCCCAGGGCAAGTAGCTCTGTTGAATTCTGCTGTATTGTGCTGTGCTGGTGTGGTGTCGGGGGTTTCCGGTTCAATGTGTGAACGGTGAAGGATGTATGTTTGTGTTTATTTTCATGGTCATGATGTGCACCGAAGATGGTGTTTGATTTCGTTGTACGAGGTGCAGTGACAATAATCTAAACATTACTTAACCAGATCCTGCATGCGCAGATTGGCAGATTCACATCATTTAGCGGTATCCCTTCCTCAATGTACAACAGCTTGTTTATTGGCCACTTGAAGTTACAACAGCGCTGAAAAAAAAAAAAAAAAGACTTATGGCCATTTTTTCACACTTACGACCGTTGGAGCATCCCCGTGATCAGGAATTCAGACGCTTGGCTCTCGATTCTTGACGCCGTTCCCTGGTATCACGCAATCCCCTTTTGTCACCTTCCGACAAGCAAAGCCAATCAGGAAGCTCGATCCATTTAACAACCTTGTCACTGACTTTTAACACTTGCAGTGATTCGCTTAACAACCGCGGAAAGGCAGGTCACAACAACATGGGGCAAAACTCGCTTAGCTGTTTTGTTTAGCAATGAAAATGTTGGCTCAGTTGTGGTCGTAGTTGTGGTCGTTGGCGATCCCTTGCCTGGACACGAATCGTTGTTCTCCTTGCACTTAAGCCATGTATTACCTAAGAGGTCAGCCTGCGTGTGTAAGAACTGTAGAAAGTTAGCACCCACTCCTCCTCTCGAAGAATGAAATATTCGAGGAAATATTAAAAAGGCAGAATATTATATTTCCCTGGAGGAAGAAAAGGAGAGACTGTTTTAAAGACAAAGCAGCTCCCTGTCCCCACCCCCCTTTCAGCTCCAGGATGTTGGGATTAAGACATGGCCCTCAGGACATGGTAGGATTACCCATCTCACCACAGGGCACCTGGGAAGATTGGACCAGCCAGCACTCAGGTGAAGCCAGGCGGTCCAGACCAAGTCTACAATGTTAGCTAAGACCTCCCGCCCCTGGGAGTCTTGACAGCCAAGGGGATACATTTCTTACACAGGAACAGGAAACACTAAGGTGGGGCCCAAACGGAGGGTATTGAACTAAGGGTCTCTCAGCCCTTTTAGCCCAGGAGCTCCAAGGCAGGCGGTCCTGCCCACCATTAAACCTTCTTTCCAAGCAACTTCCATGAATCCAGTGTCGTCTTCTCCACTTGGAACTGAGCCCAGAAGGATAGTTCTTCCAACAGAATGGTGGCTTTCCTTATAAATATTCTGTAATATGAATTATTTTCGTCTGGATTCTTCTCATTTACTTCTGAGCTCTTTCTATAAGGCGCCAGGTGAGAAAGTAACAGACCCCGAGTTCAAGTCCTGCCTTTAGCCATGAAAGTCAGCTGGTGGGCAGCAATAACAGAATAACCTCCATGCTGTCTTCCAACTCTATTCCCATTTCCACTCCATTCTATTGTGTTCATTTCCAATCACACATGGCCGATAAAGCTGCTCTACTCATTTCCAAACACAGCCAATAAAGCTACGTTACTCTACTCTACTCAGTTCCAATCACACATGGCCAATAAAGCTACTCTACTCTACTCTACTCATTTCCAATCACACACGGCCAATAAAGCTACTCTACTCTACTC